TAGGTTTTTTTCTTCTTTTTTTGGTTCAATTGTAAATGGCACTTTTCTCTTAATTTCTCCTTCTGCTTCATTACTTGTGTATAGAAACATAGTGAATTGCTGTGCATAAATTTTGTATCCTGCAACTTTACTGAATTTATTACTTCTAATAGTCTTTTTTCAATTTTTAAAACTTATTTATTTATTTATTTATTTATTTTTAAATTTTTTTTTCAACATTTATTTATTTTTGGGACAGAGAGAGACAGAGCATGAACGGGCGAGGGGCAGAGAGAGAGGGAGACACAGAATCGGAAACAGGCTCCAGGCTCTGAGCCATCAGCCCAGAGCCTGACGCGGGGCTCGAACTCACGGACCGCGAGATCGTGACCTGGCTGAAGTCGGACGCTTAACCGACTGCGCCACCCAGGCGCCCCAAAACTTATTTATTTAAATTCAAGTAAGTTAACATATAGTGTACTGGATTCAGGAGTAGAACCCAGTGATTCATCACTTACATATAACATGCAATGCTCACCCCAACAAGTGCCCTCCGTAATGTGCATCACCCATTTAGCCCATCACCCCACCTACCTCCCTTCCAGCAACCCTCAGTTTGGTGTCTGTATTTAAGAGTCTCTTATGGCTTGCATCCCTCTCTGCTTTTATCTTATTTTCCCTTCCCTTCCCCTATGTTTATTTATTGTGTTTCTTAAATTCCACATAGGAGTGAAGTCATATGATATTTGTCTTTTTCTGACTGACTTATTTAGCATAGCATAATACACTTTAGTTCCATACATTATTGCAGATGGCAAGATTTCATTCTTTTTGATCACTAATATTCCATTGTATATAACACCACATTTTCTTTATTCATTCATCAATCAATGCACATTTGGGTTCTTTCCATAAGATGGTTATTGTTGATAGCACTGCTATAAACATTGGAGTGCTTGTGCTCCTTCGAATCAACATTTTTGTATCCTTTGGATAAATACCTAATATTGCATTTGCTGGGTCATAGGGTAGTTCTATTTTTAACTTTTGAGAAACCTCCATACTGTTCTCCAGAGTGGCTATGCCAGTTTGCATACTCTCCAGCAGTGGAAAAGTGTTCCCTTTTTTTCGCATCCTCAATATCTGTTGTTTCCTGAGTTATTTTAACCATTCTGAGAGGTGTGAGGTGGTATCTCACTATAGTTTGGATTTGTATTTCCCTGATGATGAGTGATGTTGAGCATCTTTTCATGTGTCTTTTAGCCATTTTAATGTCTTCTTTGGAAAAGTGTCTATTCATGTCTTCTGCCTATTTCTTCAATGGATTATTTGTTGGTTTTTTTTTTTTTGTGCTGAGTTTGATAAGGTCTTTAATTTTTGGATACTAGCCCTTATCCAATATGTCATTTCCAAATATCTTCTCCCATTCTGTCAGTTGCCTTTTAGTTTCCTCACTGTGTAGAAGCTTTTTTTTATGCAACCCGTCCACCTTAGTCTGAGACTCTCAGAGCTGCCATTCTGGATCTTGCCACCTAGCAACATCACATTTCTTTACATTTTTCTTGTTTTTTAAATGAAAAATAATATATTTTGCAACAAGTAAAATAATATGAAACAATTTACTATTTTGACAATTCTGCTTGGAACATCCCTAAGAATATTAAAGCATGTCCGTGTTTTGTTGACACCAAGCTACATTCTCTGTGTTAACTTATTTCTTCCCACATCACTGTCAGCTCATGTGCAGTGTGCACTGTGTGTTCTTCCCTTAGCAGACAACAGGATGTTCATTTCCATTATCCCACACTTGTACAGGCTGCCCTGACCTACTCCCAGTTCGTCTGTCATCCCTTGTCCATGACACAGAGCACAGCTGCTCAGACCCCGCTGTGAAGCCCCATCCTGTCAGCTACCCCCTGTTCTGTTCTGCTCTACATTGTCCTTTTGCATATCTCCCATTGACTGCCAAAGAGTGCTTTTGCCACCTCGTATTTTTCATCTGCAGGCCGCGGTGTATGTGATATCACAGTTTTCATTGACACCTAACAGTATTAGAATCATTCTTCATAGGTTCAAATTCTGGATTTGGGGAGAAATTATTGATTATTGATTAGTCTTTACTCCTTGCAGACACTTCTTGGGAACAAAGGTTGATTATGGTGGTGCGTTGGTGCCACCTTGTGACCAAAGCCTGAATTGCAGCTTGAATATCACAAGGCAGAAAAGTGGGAGGGAGCAGGTGTTACCCAAATCCCCCAGACTGAGATTTATGGAAGTCAGGATGGAGCAGGGAAATTCTTTAGGTACAGCATATTTATGGGCTGTCTCTGGACGCTTTATTTAAATGGAATCCTATAATATGTGGCTTTGAGAATATTCGGTTTCTTTCACTTGGCTTAACGTTTTCAGGGTTTATCCATGTTATAGCATGTATCGGTACTTCATTCCTTTTTAATTGCCATATAATATGCCAATATTTTTTTTGATTCATTAAACATTTGGATGGTGAATATTTTGGTTCTTTCCTGTTTTACTAATATAAATAATGATGGTATGAACATCATACCCAACTTTGATGATGGTGGTATATTGTTGTCACCTTCTGAGAAAAATGTGAACTGCAGCTTGGACATGGTGAAGCAGGAAATTGAGAGTGAGAGGCTATGACTTAAACCCACAAGACAGAATTTCTGGAATTCAGGATGGAAAGTGGGGAATTCCTTAGGTACACCTATAGTTATGGTCTCTCACTGCATATTTTGTATAAATGCAATAATACAATATGTGTTCTTTTGCATATTTGGCCTTTTTCACTTGGTGATGTTTTCCAGGTTCATTGATGATGTAGGATCTTTTTTGTCAAATAAGACACCTCATTTCTTAATTTATGCATTAATTGGTTGACATTTGGATTGATTCCACTTTTGGCTATTACAAGTAATGATGCTACATATATTAATGTCCAAGTTTTTATGTAGACATATGTGGTCATCTATCCTGCCTGTGAATCTAGTAGTGAAATTGCAGGGTCTTAAGGTAATTCTGTGTTGAATTGCTTGGGGAACTGCCAGACTGTTATTATCACCCTGAGAGTGTTGAGGAGTGCAGACATTGTGTGTTATTTTTTCTCTTGGTTACATTTTGGTTATGGGTTTCAAGAAAGAAAACCACAGAATTGAAGTGCCCTTCTCATCACCTCACATTTAGGAATACATGACACCCACTTGACATCAGTGGGTCACTAGAGATGTTGGCCTTCATTTTAGGACTAAAGCTGTTTTTGTCTAGTTTCCCCACTGTACATACAGTGACTATTCTCCTTTCACCTACTCAAGAAATGAGTCACTAAGTCTATCGGGTCCTCAGGAGTGAGAAGCAGGATTAAGATTCAGCACATGGAGAAGAGGTATCTACATATATTATTTGGACCTATTTTATAAAGACTATTTGTCTTCTGTGATCGATTTTTTTATTAACTGGTGCATTTATTTATATCAGTATAGATTCAGGTATACTTATTTTGTTGGGTTTTTAATAGAAAGATTCAAAAAGAAAGTCTAGCATGATTTCTATGGTACAGAAAACAATTTAACACTCAGTAACAGCAAGAGTTCCCTAACTCTACCTATATCATCACCACTGTATGATCTAAACATGACACAGACAATGCTTTTAGAAAATATGTTTAACAAGGGTAGAGAGTGTAGAACAACGTTATTTCACATAATTTTATTCCATACCTAGTTTTCTCTAGAAAGAAATGAAAATCAGTTCTGAAAGAGGTTATTGAAGTGAACAGAAAATATTATTGCTAACATGCACAAAACACATTTGCAAAATCCTTTTTAATGAAAGAAAAGTAGAGCTATGTTGGAGAAAATATGTTTCATTTAAAAGGCCATTTTCTGAATCATAGCCTTTCAGTTATCTGACTCTGTGTCTATGGAAAGTAACTACAACTCTAGCCTGTACATAACTGATCTCACTGCAATAAAATGCTTCACTATACCCAGGCAATTTATTCTGTTTTGGGGGAAAGAAATCTTATCCTCTGGGTGAAATACATGTTTGTCTTCATTTGAACTGTCATTTAAATCTTCCTGATCTATACATGTGACAAATACTGGGATGTAGAATGGGCAAGTGTAATTTTTGTGGAAGCATGGGCGAATAGCAACCTTTAGATGAGGGATGGAGACTAAGTTAGGTGGTAAGTGCAGGCAATGTGAATTAAGGGTCGAGTATTCATCAAAGAATACTGTTGCAAGTATATGTAAAAGAGAGTAACTAGAGATGTGGAGAGGGGCCCAGGGCATTAAACTATAATTATAATTTATCAATTATAAGAGACTTGAATGAGCAGGCTGAAATCTTATTAGATTTAACATCTGAATTTACCACACCACCCTTTTCACACATTACTTTGTTGCCATTATGCAAAAGCTTAAAGCCTTAAAACAAAGGGACAATGTAGAGTTTGATCTTAATGCCTGTTAAACAGATGAGTGGATGGATCGATGGATATATGAGGTGTCAAACATGTGCTTTAAAGTCATACATTATCACGTCCCAGGGCAGAGGTCTTGACCCAGCTGACTGAAACCTTAGTTTTGGGTAGCCAAAAGGATTTAGTTTCCCAGGATGCTGCAACTGATGGCTGAAAGATCAGAGGCAGTTCCATTGTGAAGGAGAGGCTTGAGAGTGTCTGTTGTCAGAAAAAAGGTGACTTCATCGCGAAGTCTTCATTGTGAACTTCATTGTGAACTCTGAGGACATTTTAATAGAGACCAAAGTGGCCTGGAGAGGAGAGCAGGTCCCATTTTCAGGTGTTTGGGGCTCAGTTGGCAGAGTGAGTCCCCATGCTTCAGGCGCTGAACAACCCTGGAGTGTGAGGATACAAAGGGATCTCAGATCAAAGTCGCCTCTTTCTTGTTTGGGGATGTGGCACTCAAGCTTTCTCCTAGGTAAAGCCATTGGGGTTTTGTCCTGCCTCAGTGAGTGTGGGTCTTGCCCCAGGGGTGTCCTGGACATGCTTTCCTCTAAAGACAAAGTCACAGAAAGATAGGTAACGACTCTTTCTGAGCCCCAGATTTTCCCTCTGTAAAATGGAGATGAGAATGCTTCACCCATAGGACCTCTGAGGAAGTTCACTGATACACATGAGCAAGCTTATGGACTTGTGGTTACTGTGGGGTCATGAATGCCTTATGAATTCAGGCCACTTCTTATTTTTTCAACTTTGTTCTTAGGGGAGAGATGAGGAAAGAGGAAAAAGGCCCTTTTGTGAAGCCCATTAAAATATATTGTTTTTTATGACCACCAATCACTTATATGAATGTCATTATCTGTAACCTAGTACTTTGCATGGTGCCAAGGATATCATTACTCCATAAATCATACTGATATCTAGGTCTCTCTCCCTGTGCAGGTCTTCATGAATGTGGCCAACCTCCTCTCAGGTGTTGGAAGGAGTCAGATTCTGAGGACCTGTGTCTTGAGGGCCGCTGAAGCTTCTACTCCAGATTCAAAGGCAGTAGTCCTCAGGAGTTCCTGACAGTTCACGTCCCTGTGAGATATGATGCCTGGCTCAAGTGAGGTCAGAGATCTAACAATAGCATGTTGTGAAATAGGTCCTTGAGGTTCACAAACTAACCTAAAAGTAGAGAAGTTGTTTTGGTTTAATCAAACCAAAGAAGAAGAGGTTTTAGGACATAAAATTTTATTTTTTCAGAAGCTACATGCTCTATGTAGCCCATGAGGCCCATATTAAAGAAGTCCTTCTTTGTCTGAAAGCAACAATTGTTCAGCTTGACAACAACTTGATCTTTAACATGCACTTGCAATTAATACGCATATATTTTTCTGACCATAAATAATGAATCCTATGTTCTCTCAGAAGGATGTGAAATATGTAGTTAATTAAAAGGATTGCTAGCAATTTGAGATCATGAAATGGATTCTTTACTGGTAAACATGGTTTTATCCATTGTATAAAGAAAAATATTAGGAAAGTCTGACATCATCTAAGTGTTAGTTAAAAATGTCAATTTCAAGAATTTAGAATTTTATACAGTAATATCTTCCTATGTGTTTGCCCTATTATTATGATACCCAGAATTGTCAATGATAATGAGCAAGTATTCTTAAAGACCATTATGATTATATTCTTACGACACCATATTTTCAGTTCTGTACTCACCCACCACCCACTCCCTCACCATGTCTTATCCCCAGGCACCCAGTGATCTTTGTGTAAATGGGTTACTTATGATTTCCTGTAATT